CGTCGTGCTCGACATCGTATATACATTGTATACTTAAAGCGCCGATTTACATGGGAAATTATCGTTTTTTTTTTTTTAAATTACATATAATATAATTATCGTAAGTTAATTGTTCCCGGAGAGAATTCCCACAACGCAAACGCTGCCGTCCGTTCCCGGTACTGATTACACGATATTTTTTTTTATCGTTATTTATTATTATTATTATTATAGTGCAGACTGACGGCAACGGATGGGGTGACATCATTTAGTGATAACCCGGACGACACGGCGGCGCGGCGGTTGATAAACGTGCGCAGTTTTTGCATTTATTATTATTTTTTGTCTCCCAACAATTAAAAAACAAAAAAAAAAACTATCAAATATAATATTATTATACAATATAATTGCGTTTCTCGTGAATTCCACTTTCCAGCGCGTTATCATCGTCTTCAGTGTTTAATAAACGACAAACGTCCATATGATAACATATCAATCGCGCATTCAATATACTTTGTCAACAATATTCGTGCAAACGTCGCGTCGCCCCTAAACGGTTTTAATTTAAGGCACCTCGTCGGGTTTTTATTTTAAATCCAAGGGTAATTTTTTTTTCCAGTTCTAAAAGTCTGTTGTGTCAATTTTTTTTAAGAAATTGAGTCGAGTTGAGGTTTTAATAACAATAGATCGAGTTTACCACTACTTCACCAGTAGTCTTGTTCTAAAACCCACACTATCATTTTGAAAATTAAGCCGTTGCAATATTAAGTCGTGACAGTTTTTCTTAAATGTCTCAAGTTAAGGTGACGTGGACATAGTGTGGTGGAGGCTTTTGGAGCTAGGCGACTCATTTGTTGAGTTAGGTTTTTGCTTTTGTTTTAAATTATAGTGCGTAAAGTAGGTACATTAAAAAATTCGGACCTGCGACCGCGGCCGCCGCGATCTGGGTCGACCGGTTGACGACTATTAGAAGAAGAAAAAATGACTCGTTTATGTACGTGTGTACGGTTAACAAAGCGTTTATAAATCAAAAAGTGACGAGAGAAGGTAAAAATTAACCGGAATATTTGTTCGCTTCTCTCTCTCTCTCTCCGGTCTCTACTTATTATATATATATATATATATATACATATACATATTATATGCTCTTTTATATTTATTTTACGACGATGATGGGCGGACACGGATTTTAACACAGCCCGCGGGGTATGTTTGTTTTTACTGCTGGCGCCACCACCCGCTGCCCGGGCACACCACTATCAATCATATCGCTAACCATCCGTGCGTTTTACCAAAATCATTTTTATACACACACATGCATACATACACTTTATACGTGTTATATACGCGCGTTTCGATTATAGCCCGACGATTGTTTTTTTTTTTTTTGTCTTTTATACCATCCACAGCGAGATTTACATAATATGTACGAACACACATACCTACTTCGTGTGCGTTACCCATGTTGTGTTACCCCAACAGAACACGGTTATTGCGCTCGTGTTAGCTCGCGTACACACCTTCAATCAATATACATTATATATATATATATATTAATAATATAAATACATTTAAAAAAAAAACTATACCGAGACCGTCGCCCGTAAAAGAAAACGCTACTCAGGCGCGGCGGCGTACCGTCGAGATGTGTTTACACGGTACATTAGCCGGAAAGCTGCACAGTGCACATGTTTTATTATTATTATTATCATTATGCGCGCTTCTTTTTTAACGGTAAACAAAACGGCCACGTTGGCGGCAGTCCACGCCTTATTGTGCGTTTCCGAACCGTCTTTATAGGCGCATTATAAAAGCGACCCATTACGCACAATAGGAAGACACCTTCTTTGTCCAATCGACCGTGTACACACACCTACACAGTCACGCGGTCCTTAACACTTTCACGGAGCCCTATCCTCTTTTTTTCTCCTTTTTTTTTTTTTTTACAGTTTACACGCATTAAATGGTATATTATAATATATTGTTATTATTCGGTGGTGCCGCCAGCCGCCACTGTCGACGCCGCCGCCGCCGCCGACCGGGTTTAAGACGTCGTGTGAAAATTCACGAAAAACACATAATGTCGGGAGTATACCTGTAAAACGCGCGCGCATCGGTGACTCCAATATGTACACCGATGTATGGATAGGTCTGCGACGTCCTATTGTCCGTCCGGTACATGGTTAAAACGCACTTATTTAAATGCCGGCAAAAAAATATAAGTGCAACACCTTTCGGCGATATAATCCTCCGGTAGTCTCCCGAAAGAGACGCTATACTTTTTTACTCTTCTTCTTATACAAAAAAAAGTATATAAGAAGACTAAACATAAAAAAAAACCACTGCTCCTTTGGCATAATCGTTGGGATTGCGAACATAAGCTGTTTTTGTCTAAAACGTTGTACATAATAATATGATGCTATGAATTATGATGGCTTATCATCCCAGTCCAGTTCCGTCTGGAATTGAACACTTACCGTATATCCAAATCCTACATAATGCCTTGAAGACAAATATGAAATATAATACGGCATTTAATTGTGTTATATTGATATTGGCGCTTTCGGTTAGGCTAGGTTTATATTATTCACTACTAATTTATGATGTATGTATGTGTGAGCGCTGTTTTTTTTGTACACACTAATGTTATGAAGGTGACCAAATTGTGTACGTCGTCTAATTAATTATTTTCTACGTTTTGCTCGTAGGATAGTAGAAAAAAAAACAAAGATACCATTAATTAACATTAAATGTACAAGTACGTCTTATTAAAAAGTTCAGTTGTTAGTTGTACCTATACGACTATGCCTATTTAAATTGTCAAAACCAGTTATGTCGGCATTGGTCTTTATAGGATAGGGCGGACAGGTAGATAGGTACGTTAATATTATTCTTACCGATTTTAATGTAGATTACGCGTGTTAATATGTTAATTCGGTTCCCCTTTGAATTTAATACGGTTTTATTAGCAGCCGTATACATACAATTAGATAATGACGTGTAAGCAATAAAAAATAATTACGAAAAATATAATAAACCGATACGATTGATGTGGTTTATTTTTATATTTTTGGATCATAAACATTTATATTAATTAACAGACATGGATCTAGAAATTTTAAATGGGATAATTTGAGCAAAACAAGAAAAAAAGTTGTTCTAAATGTTAAATCTCTTATATTTTAATTGAATTTAATAGTAGAAACAAAAAAGGAATATTTCTAATAATCAAATAGAAATAAAAAAATTACAATTTTGTTTTGCTATTAACTGTTAGCACTGAAGTGGTTTATACAGGCTGTACATCAAAAATTAAGATAAAAGCTGCTCACCCCACCTCTGAACCCGCGTCTATTTATCAATGCATTTATAAACAGTTTTTCGATTGCAATCTTTTGCGGTTGTTGCGGCGGTGGCGGTAGCAATCACCGTGTGTAGGTTTGTATTACATTATACAACATAGTAGGTACGCTGAAAAACATAAAATATTATATTATATAGAAAAACGATATCGGATGGCTTTGAAACGCGCACAATGGATCGACATGAGAATAATGGGAACAAATTATTATTATTATTCTTTCCTCCCGCATCATTATTATTATTATTTTATTTTATATTGTCCAGTCGGTTTTTATCAACAACAATAATACTCGACGACTGCACATATTGGTCGGGACTCTGGTAAAAAAAAAAACAAAAAAAATCCAAACTGGAAACCTATCGTGTTTCCATTATACCTACGTCATGTATATCGATTTTTCGTTTCCAATACAATATATCACATATATTATAGTTCGGGTGCTCTACTCTGGAATCTGGGAACCGCCACCCTATACGAGGCCGATCATATTCGGTTAAGTTCACTTCCGGGCTTTGGATATCGCCCACAAAACACGCCCCTCGACGGTCCGGTCGTCCGACCCTCTGGTGTAACAAGCACGCAGACACTATCATAAGCGCCAGAAAATACACACACACATATATATATACATATATTTATACTTACAATAGTAAATTGTATACTATTATTGTAAAGTTTCTCCGGCTAGCTGGGCGAATAGGTTTATTTTTAACGCGCACGCATAAATAATAACCATAATTTCGCCCCATAAAGTATAATACTGTTGGTCGTGAAAAGCGCAGACGCACCGCGTTATATATTATGGACCTTGTGTATTATATTATAATGGAACGGGCGCGCGCGCTTCGATATATAATGGATCCCGGCGTATGTGAAAGGGATGACGGGGTGGACAAACGGGGGAGGGGGGGGGGTGTTTCAGTGGTGTGAATGTAAGGGCGCGAGCAATGGAGCGTACTTACCGTAATAATAAAGTGCGAGATATCATGCACTCATCCTATTGTGACGATTAAAGATGGCCGCCACCGTTTAATACATGTATTTATATATATATATATATGTGTGTGTGTGTGTGTGTCTATAGAACCCGGGGGGAACGCTCATCACGGTCGGCGCATGTACATATAGGAGCAGATGGTTTATTTTTCATCTGAACAGGATTTCCGAGGGCTGTTTGCGTTTTTTTCCTCCCCCTGAAGGGAACGATTGAATAATAGCAGATATTATTATATAATAATATATTATTATATGTATACCCTGTACAAATACAATGCGTGCACATACATTTTACTACATATTATTATGATGTGTATAGCGCGCGAAACGCTCACGCGGGGTAAATATATATAATATATATATATATTTATTAATTATTATGCTGCAGGCAAATGTTCCCCCAAATGAGGTTTCGCGTGAGCGGCCTAAACGCCAAAACCAAGTACATCTTACTGCTGGACATTGTGGCTTCGGACGACTACCGGTATAAGTTCCACGACAGGTATACAATAGTTTATCAGAAAGAGAGCTATACACCAACCCTCCCGCGGCCCCCGTCCGCCCGCATTTAAATTATTTTTACTATAATCTTATGCTGTCCGTATATTATTTGTTAACAACATCATTATAGTTTCTCTTTTTTTTTTTTTTGTTTGATTAGGCGGATGTTTCCCGCTTACAAAGTCCGAGTTATGGGACTTGACAAAAAGGCCAAGTACATACTGCTAATGGATATCGTGGCCGCCGATGACTGTCGCTATAAGTTCCACAACAGGTACAAAAAGTAAACAAATTTCAATTAAATGACTATATAAATGTATATTTTTATTCAGGGCCAGTTTGACGGTAACGTTATATATTATGTTTATTTTTATCGTTTATATATTTTTATAATATATCTACCAACACATATATTTTATACACCCTAGATTGTTTTTAATATATACTTAATAGCGACTCGTAGCGTTTACCCAAACTCGGAGTTTACTAAACAAGTCAACTAAAACAAATAATAATAAAATGGCGTATATTTATTAACCGCATAAAGCACCATTACTGATTTTAATGTGGCCTTTTTGTTGAGTTTTTCAACCCGAGCTTTTTAATCGTCATTTTTTCCAACAACCGAAACAATAGATACTTAACACATGATACTCCATAAAATCAAACCGTGAGTGGGTTGATTTAGCTCGATTAATTCAAATGCATGCTCTTATAGTATTATTTTCATTGTTGTTCGTTTATAAATTTAAAATTCCCGTCATTCATTTAAATAACAAATTTTTTTTTTTTAGTTCAAACAAATTGATTACATTTATAAAAACTTTTTACTCTTTTTTTAATACACCTAAATACAATTGTTTTATTTTTAATTTATTTTGAAGTTCAACATACACATTATGTTTGTTTTACTAAATCCATAGATACTGTCAAAAATGTTTCATTATTATATATCGGGTATGTTAATTTGTTAACTGTTGTTTAGTCGATGGATGGTAGCCGGAAAAGCTGATCCGGAAATGCCGAAACGAATGTACATCCATCCGGATTCCCCGTCGACCGGCGAGCAGTGGATGCAAAAAGTAGTCTCGTTTCACAAGTTAAAGCTCACCAACAACATATCTGACAAACACGGATTTGTAAGTATCGAGCCTATAACATATTATTTTTTTACTCTTTATGTCCCACATGCGCCGCAATATTAAAATCGTATAAATCGTTGCCGTATTATAAAAAATTAATTAAAAGAAAAACTAAATTCATTTTTTTTAACGACTGTCGGTTTTGATACTAACAGCTGTAGGCTTCTTGGACATTAATAATTGGTTCTAATTGGACAAAAAAATAACCGTACGCATGTTGAATAGATAAAAAAAAAATACGTTTAATTAAATACCGAGATGTGTTTGTGCGATTATAATCAGTGGCGTTCATCGTCGGAAGATAGGTCATATCTTATGATTTTATTTTTTTTTTTTTTGTGGGAACTTTTAAATCGGAAGACAAATATTAGCCGATTGGTTTATTTTTCACACGTGTATCATTTTTCCTCCTGCCGTTATGTAAATAGCAAACAATAAATACAAAAAAATGTTGATTTTTTTTTTGCCACCGGCGACACCCTTAAAACAACGTACACTGGCTTACACCGCGATAAACAAATACATTCATGGCCGCCCCGCTGCATAATAAATATATAAACTTACATTACGGACGTACATAATAACAATATGGGGGTTGCTAAGAGTGATCGGTTGCGCGCGTTTCAGCTGCTTGCAGAGGCGTCACATTTTGGTTGACGGCGTCGGCGGATTTTTGTATACACACACACACACGACAGTGTCGTTAAGTGTTTCACAAGGGTTTTCGTGTGAGTGTGTGTAGTACGCAGGGAATTCCGGTTGTCGTTGTTGTTTTTGGGGAGGAGGACGTGCTGGCGGAGGAGATCGACACCAAATATTTGCTCGAAAAATCCTGGCGACGACCCTTTTAGTGTAATATGACTTACGTGAAAATCGGATGTCACTCGGCCGTGTACGCGTTTACTTTAGGGCGTCGTCTTCGGCGGCGACGGCATAGGCAGAGACGCATGTCGGTCGGATAAAAAAAACGCACACACACACCATACCTATACGTCGTACCGAAGATTTTTAACAGATAGGATTTTTATAGATGTTCAATTAACACACACGCGCAGTAGTCCCCGCTGGGAACCAGACTTCTTCTATTAATTAGGGTGCGCTGTCGCCAAAAGTCATTAAACGGTGGCGGCACACGAGGGTAGGCCGGCCAGACGGGGTTGAGTGGCCCGTCGCCACCGCCACTGCCGCCGCCGCCGCCGCCGTCGTCTTGCCTTCCAACACCTTTTTTGGGCACTGATTTTCGAAAAACCTCCCGCACCCTTCTAGACTACAGTGTATATGTGATATGTGTATGGACAAGCGCTAAAAACTTGGATTTATGAGCGGCGTATAAGAGACCATCGTCGTTGTTGACGGCGCGATTGCAGATACACCGTGTAAAAAGGTAAATCCGACAAACGATGTCGGGCCGAAGAAAAAACACAGATTTCGTCAACGGCCCTCAACAAGAGCGGCGCGCTAATAAGTTGTATTATTATTTTTTATTATAGGTGGTGGTACCCTTGACCCTTATGTCTTTTACGTCTCGATAAATAAAAAAAAAAATAATAAAGTAACATAAAAACGATAGAAAAACACATTAATTCTACAGGCTGCAGTAGCCCTTGATAATTATCTTACTTAAACTCTTAAAAAAAATATAAATAATCGCGTCGTATAAAATTACATAAACAAAATGTGAAATTATTTTTAAAAAAACAATGATAATTTTGATTTGTTATACCCTATAACTGACATGTTTGATCGTTGTAGGGTAGTTTGTGCGTTCAAGATTATATATTATATATAATATATACATATATACCTATCATTATTGTCGAGGACAAATTTTGAATAACGTCTATCTGTGTATTATTTGCAATGTACCTAATTTGCTTCGGCTACCGTTTTTCAGAACGATATAATATCCAGATGATGTATTATAGATACCTATAATATTATATTAAAAGGATCGACGCAATTTGCCAAAGAGACCGCAGAAGTGGTAGTGATCCCCTTTATTGTACGATTACAATGCGGATGACAAAAAAGGAGTTGTGGTCCTTTGCGGCACCGTCTGCCGCGGCGGCGCATCCTTTGGAGATGACCGTTTGACCGGAAAGTCGACACGTATACGGGCGCGGCATCCCTTTTTTCTTTATCTGGCTCTTATCCTGTGTGTTGACCATGGCCCTTGTCCAAAATGTATACAATATAACACACATACCCTGCCCGAGTAATAATAATATGGGATATATATATACAGACTTGTGTGTGTGTACCTGACACCGCGCCGCCGGTGGCGCCTCCGACTCAAGTGGTGTACACTGTGTCACAGCTCATCCGATCCCTTTTCAAAATATATTATATACTACCCAAGTATCCGCAGCTAAATGAGTGATGATCGGCGCCGAAAAAATTAAAAACTACCAGAAGAGTCACGCATTGTACACCGTACATATTTGAAAATAGCTATATATTATAGATACAGAAAGAGAGAGGAAGTTGTGAGCGTTAAGAGGGTTTTGGCGCCCGGAACAGACTCGGAGAGTCACTTTTACGCAGAGACGGCTGTTATGTCATCGCAAGACGTCTAATATCATCATCATCATCACACGTGCACTGTACCTACGATGGAATTGCAAATAGTGATAGAAAATAAAAGCTATAATGGTCCAGACCGTAACCGTCGCGTTGTGCGTCGTTTAAGTATAACCATTTTAACGCGGTGTTGTTGCTGCTGCTGCTGCAAAAAAACAAATCCATAGCCATACAGTCGAGAAAAGTCAGTGGTAAAACAAACACTTGTCCGGCGCGTTACTAATTTATTCTGCGCATTACACATTTTGAATTTCAAACAGATGCGCGCCATGGCTGTAGATTGGTTTTTTATTTTATATAAAAAAAACTTACACTTGTTATTGTGGTGGTGAATACAATTGAACGTATGGCGATCGATTCCTTGAACGTTCGTAGTTTGCTTGCGAGTTTTTTTTTCACAGAAACTTTTGTCAAACACTGCTGCAGGCCACGAATATAGCGTGTTCGATATCTTATAATATATATATATATTTATATAGTATCTAACGCCAACCACAACTGGTTTGAAACTCAAATTTGTATTGCTATCGTTATGCGATTTTGTTTAATTAATGGACATTTCGTGTCGGCGATTAATAATCATTTCTTAAGCATTGCCAGTTATCTAACGACCAATAAAACAATATTTTTTTTATTGATCCCGCAACGTTAATAACGCATTAATAACATAACGCATTCAATTAAACATCCGAGAAATATTAGCAGCATAATATGCGAATAGTGTTGGTTTAGTGCAAAAGAATATACACAAATGCAAATGGTTTTTTTTTTTTTTTTTAGGGAAATTCAAACAAACCGCGTTCAGAATTTTACGTATTGTAATTTTATTCTAAACTTATTTAAGTATAACTGAAAAATGTTTCGTATAAAATCTTAATTAAAAAAAAAAAAAAAAAATACTCTATCGTGGAATCCTAAAGATGGATTTATGTGGTAATATAGCCTATAGAGTAATTACGCGATTGTCTATATATAGATAGTAGGTATATCAATCCGTTGGTGGCGGGTTAAAAAAAAAAGAACTGTGCTCCACCCGTTTTTTTGCCGTCGCGCTTAAACGGGATTTCAACAAAACCTTATCCGAAGTATAATATATAATAATAAAACACTCCTGTATAACATATAATATGGGTTGCAAACAGCAGCAGCAGCTCCCGCGCACACATTTTCCGCTCTACCGGATTTTTGTCGACGCCGACCCGACACGACAGACAATAGCGCGGAGATGATCCATATTGTAGTGCATTGTGATGACACGATCATCGCCGCGTTGTCGGCGTCCGTCAAAAAATGATAATAAAGAACAGATAACGTATATTTTCGGGTAGGATTAATCGCGGGCCACCGGATTTTTGTAATCGACTCTCTTCTCCGTTTACCGCTGTACATCACCTATACTCGGGGGAGCGCACAATATAATATGTATTGGTAGATATAATATATATATATATATATATATATATATATTATTATAAATGTATGTATGTAACATAAAAAGCCACCAAAGCAGCCGCCTCGGTAATGTTATTAGACCACCGCCACCGCGCACCATCGCTGCGTTACATATTATATTATTATTATTATTATTATAGCCTAACCTCTTGATGTAGTGTATAAGTAACTGTTGCATGAAGACACGAGATCCCACTGGGAAATCACTCCTATGTGCTTAAAGCAAGATCCCGCGGGAGAAAGCCACTACATATACTGCACTCACCCCTAAACGTGCATCCGCTCTCTATCGCGGTATATATTTATATAATAGTATTATACATATTAAACGCGCGTGAATATCCTTGGGATGCTATCAAAAGTGCCGCGAATCACGACATACCGTACAAGTAGAATATGTATAGGTAATATTTATTATAATGTATACTAAAAATCGATAAGAATCGATTATTAGAGCAGTGGATGGGTGTAAAAAACGCGGTAGTAAAGTGTTGTAAAAATAATATATACATATATAAAAAAAAATAATCAATCTCCTACCGTGGCAACATATAGGTAGTATCGTCCGGCTGTGTGTATCCTGTTTGTAGTAAACCCGTGCAACGTGTGTAATGTGTACCTATACATTATATTATTATAATATCTTCTTCGGGACCGACGCCGGTTAATTAAAAAACAAACTGCCCCGCGTCGCCGCCGCCGTCTATCCTATTTGAATATATTACAATATACCATTCGGTTCCCAGTCGACCGCGGTGATGTCACACACACACACGAACAGTAATAATTAGTATATACGGTCGTGTCACACCCCGATCGGATCTATTCGATTTTTCTTTTCATGTTTTTTTTTATACATAATATTATATAAATATAAACTATGTCTCAGAATGTTAACAAGTAGTTTGACTTCTTTCCGTTCCACCGGCCACGCAATTAATCAAAAAATTCAACCGATTTAATGACTTAAAAAAAATATTTAAAAAAACGACAATCTCAATGAACAAAAAACTCAACTTTCAGGAAAATTAAAATTCGAATAAATAATTAGTCATTTATATATATGACGTATAGCAATCCTATGCTAGTATGTACTCAATACGTATAATACATATTTTTATATAATTATAATTGTTTTTCATTGTCGCAGGCATCATAGGACATAGAGTGTGGCACACACCATCAGCGGTGGTCGCGGTTGGGTTAAGACCACCGCGCGCACAATAATACGGGACGCCGCCCAAAAGGGGGATTATGTCGACCACACCCCTCGAATGGTCATTCGCGGTCGCGTTCTTTCTCACACCCTCCCCGCGATTTTCCAAAAAAAAAAAAAAATGTATAATATTAACACTTGAAAAAAAGAACACTGATGTGGGAAACAAATGCCATCGATGGTCCTGAAGAAAACCCATTCTAAATGAAACATTGTCCGACATAAATTTGTTATAAATAGTTTGGCGTGTTAGGATTATTGTGGTTCATTAGCAATCCGGTATACCATGGCGGATCTCGAGAGACCTAACTAAACCTATAAGAATTGTTTGTGTCGGTCGACGTTTGGCTATATACGACTCCGTTGAAAATATATCCGGATTTTCTCGCCCGGGTTTGTTCTATGCTAAAATAAAAAGGGACGACCGTCGAATAAACTCATTCTGTTGTATTATTAGTAACTTTCGCTTTTTTTTTCTCTCCGGAAAACAAAAACTACCCACGACGATCGTTAAACGCGGTTGGCGCGCACAAAATAAAAGAATTTCAGGTTAATTGTCTTGGCTACTGTCGTTTTTTTTTGTTATCCACCGTGTTTGTGTATGCATATAAAAAAAAGACGCATTTTTAGTTAATTAAAAAAAAAAAACCGGAAAGATACCGCCACCGTAGGATTCATTTACACCGAATGGTTATTTTTTGCACACTTCTAAGGGGATACGCATCATTTTTTTTTAATATATTTTTTTTTTGACCACTATTGTCCCATTCGACCGTTTCTGGTACCCCTGACGTCTGCGTGCCCCGCTTCTTATATTATATATGTCATGTATACATACGGGCCGACAGGACGAGATAGACATCTGTGCACGCGGGTAAAATGTTAATGCTAAAAAATTATAATAAACCGATAATAAAAATAAATCGTCTGTCCGTCTCGCGTTCAGTCGTCGTCGTCGTCGCCGGCGGAACGAGATCTGTTCTTATTATACACACTTACCCCCATTGTATTTAAATGAAGACCTTCGGGTTTTAACGGAATAAAATCAATATAATAATGTACGTTTTTTTTTTCTTCCCCATGTTCCAAACGGGCACGTGGAAAAATGTTATTATTATTACACACATGCCTGCTGTATACGCTATGCTGCTGTACAACGGATGGCGCCGACCGACCGCTTTTGCTAATGCTACCAGTTACCACTACCGGTCGGGACGCGGGTGCAGAATTCATACACTCTATAAGTATATTCATTCAATTGACGTCGTCTGCGCGAGATATCATTGGCTGTATAATAGCTATAGGTGCCAGGTTAGATGGTTCAGGGCCCCTGACTTAAACGGGTATGTGGAATTTTCCCATGATGATAGCCTTGTTTTTATCTATAGTATACTTGACGAATCTCGTTAGATATGTCCGTTGCTTGCTTATCGGTCATAAAGTGATGAAATACGTTTGTCGATTAAAATACATAAATAAATAGCAAGAAATAGTATACATTTTTAGGAGGAAAACCGTTTAAAAACAATTGTATTTCCTTTCTCGGTTAACGATTTGTCACCACCGACGACCATTATAATTATTAACATTTTATATAAATATTATATGTATATGTATATTACATATGGCACGCCCCGGCCCATTCCGGTCTATTCTTTTGGCGCCTCGCTCTAAAATAGTACACACAATAACGAAGATGACACAATAACGCGGTGTACTGTAATAGAAGACGGAAAGACAAGGGACAATATATTTTGGATATCACGTCCGTTTGGTAGTTTTTTTTTTTACGACGCCGCCACCGCCAATTATACGACACACGAATTTAATACATAAAATATTATAATAACAATCGTACGTACACCTAACGAGCCGCTGCCTTGGAACCTAATATGTATAAATAGGTATATTATTATAAAAAGGAGGACGTCACAATAATATTATTTCTCACGCGCTCGTCCGCATATATATTACGCGTAAAATCGTGGAAAACAAACGAAACGATATTGTTATAATATATATATATATATATATTATATTTTTATGATTATTATTATTACGGTCGGGTCGTGCTCGTTTCAAAAGTAAGTACGTGTGCCGCCGACACTTTTTTTCATTCCATATTATAACGAATGGCATATAAAAAGCCGACAATATAAGACGCGTCGCGACGTTGACGTGATTCATTATTAATCACGTCCGTTTTTCGAATATTTAATAATACGCGCGACTTTGGCCAGTAAAATATTTATAATACTATGCTAATACCCAAATCTAATATTATACAAATCTGCAGTCCGCGAGGAACGCCCCAAAAAACAATTACTACACGTCATACCTAGCTAAATTCTAAAAGTTCTCTCGAGAGTCGAGACCAAATTGGGGGCAAGTCGACTTTTTTTACTTCCGTTTTTCGATAAACAAACGATTGGTGTAGGTATACATACGCTCTGGAGGCAACGTACCAATTGGGTTTTGGCTGTACTTGATACCGATCGACCGAAATGATAGTTTTGATCAATCTTCTGGTCTGTTTGCAATTTGTGCGTTTGTACCTACTGGACGCGAACGAGATAATGATATTGTGGTCGAACAGTAAAAAAAAAATACATTATAGTTTCGATTCGAAGCGAAGTAGACATTCGTGGAATATTATTCAAATTAATACGACAAAAAAACATTGGCGCTGGAGCTACTGCTGCTTACATATTATTATACACAAAGATTCGGTCGGCTGATAATACTGTATACCTGATCGTGCGCGTTTTTCTCGTATAATATATAATATAATATTGTGTGTACTCGCACGGGTCGGGTTATGCCGAAAGCACTCGGTTTCGGTTGGCAAGAGAACAAGCTCCCCGGCCAAATATCCCGTCAGTAGTAGGAGGTGGAGGAGTAGGAAGAGAAGGACGTCCCGCGACGTTCGAGAACCGGCTACAGCTATGCATATAGTATAAATAGTGTATGTGTATATAGTGTTAATAACAATAAAAAGAAACGACGCGCTTGGCGCTCATGACAGAGATAAAGGCCACCCGAACGATATTTATGCGGCCAATAAATAACGTACTGCGGCGGCGGCAACAACGTTAGTGTTAATGGACGGTAACCCTATCTTATTGTTTTTTTTTTTTTTTTTTTAAATGTTATTTCACTCTCGCGCGGCTACCTCAGCAGTAGGTGTCATTAGTCGTGTGATAACAACGGCGTTTTTATTTTCATTTCTCTTATTTTTTTCTTTTTTTTTTTTTTTTAGTATTCTGAGGCGCGGCCACTTCTTCTTAATGTTCACACGCATATATTTACCACTCGTTTTCTTTTTCTCTTTACATTTTTTCCGTTTTTATAATTGGAATCGGTCCTTTTGTTCTCGGATCGCCGCCAGAGTGATAAAAACGTTTTTTTTTTTTTGTTTTAAACAAGACAAATATAATACTTATCTTTTTTGGCGTTATCCTTGCCGCGGCCGAGTATCGCATCTCGCTAAATCCATTATAATAATATACGCCAAATTTTTATTGTAATAGGGTTTTCTTATTATATTCCGTCCTCGTATTTACATCAGACATCATATACCGCTAATAATATAAGAACAATGAAGTCTGCGCTCTCGCCCGGCGAGTCCTTGCTAGCTCTCGTCACTTGTCTGTGCCGGCGCGTCTAACCCAAAACCAAGATGCACATGTCTAAATGTGTGTGTGTGTGATAAAAAGAAAAGAGGAGGCTAACGGCCCGAGTAAAAAACGTACGGACTCGGCACACTAATCAGGATGTGTCTGCTGCAGCCCAAGCAACAGACGGCGTGGATGATGAGAAACCGTCGTTCTACCGCCTCCGGGTACGTGCACTGGGTGTGAACTAAGTTGCGACCACCACACTAATAATTGTACGTGCAGTTGACTTGGCGTTTTTTTTTTTTTTTTCACTGCTCTCCGGCCGTGACATCACATCCACGCTGTCGTGTAGAAAACGGAAATGTCGAACGTCTGACGTGTCCAAGTCTTCATTCTAAAAACTCCCTCCCCCCCTCCTCGCACGACCACTCGATAATCGCGACTCGTCGTCACCCGACAGCGGGTAGTATATGTGACGCAGGCAACAAAGTATAGGAGACCGTACCTAACGAGTAAATATGGGTAATATTCCCCAATACTATACTGTTTTAGTTAATTGGGCGGTGCAGGTATTTTTAATGTAAAACCAAAGTCCATGTATGTAAGTTCCAAGTATAATCGCGTTCGGAACAAGGCCACGTTCGTTGTTTTTTTTATTCGGTTTTTATTAAAAGCGTTCGACTTGCCTCTCCCCCGAAACTCATGTTCATTATAATAATTATAAAAATACTTAACAAAAATGCTTGAATATCCGTAATGTTTATCTATTTTATTAGGGCCTAAATCAGTTTTCGCTACAGACCATAAACAGGCCTTACGATCGTTTCCACAGATTTCCAGAGGTACGTAAAAAAATCAAAACAAAAATACACTTATAATACTTATACTTTAATACGTTCTATTAAAAAAAAAAAAAAAAAAACCGACGACACTTTTGACTCGCAAAAATTGGGTGGCTGATGTAATATACTGTAGTGATGATTTTTTTTCACCGCGTTGGGATACAAAACGCTTGTTAACGCTAGTTCACTTTGTACGCCGCCGTCTTATGTATATTCTCCGGATCCTTCTTATCCTCCTCTTTTCGTCGCCTCGACCACAACGACCGCGCTACGGGGGAAGGAAAAAAATAAACAAATAATGGAACGAGTTTATCACTCTCGTGCTCGCCCGGCGCGCGTTATACATATATGTACGCGCGTAATATATTATTATCTTCCTTATTTTTTTTTTTTTTTTTTGTCTTAACGAGATAAATGCCCCGAGGCCACTGTTGGCGACGACGGCGGCCGGCGCTGCTTCTGCTGCTGCTGCTGCTGCCGCTATACGGTCCGACCCATGTGATTAGCGTCGTCGTGCGGTCGCCGCCGTGAGAGATTCGTGAGAGAACGAGAACGGCGTACAAACAGTACCAGCTATACTTACCTGTATAGGTATGTGTGTATTGTACACGGAGAGCAGAAGAGAGCTGGGCGGAACGCAGCAGTGTCTGTTGAATGAAAAACAAGCGGTGGCGCCAAATGTCCGTCGGCCGCGTGCGTCCGATTTGAATATAATGCGATTGTGGTCGTCGGCCATATCAATTATTGTGGTAGAACCGGCGGTAGAGACGGTGGTGGCGATGGTAGAGATGGTAGAGATGGTGGTGCGGTTGTCTCTGTCCACGAGACGACGCGAGGAACGGCTATCGGACGATCGAAGGAGAAAAGAGGTTTTCGCGTTTATAACAATTGTGTTTTTGTTGCACGCGCGTGTAACAATAACGACAGCTTATTAATATTTGTGTGTACTTGGGGTCTTGATAATATATAATATACGAGTAAAATAGAGGACCTACTTCAATGTATAGTGGCGAAACGAATTCGCGTGCATAGAGACTTCAATGGCTAACCTTACACATGACAAATGGCGTAAAATTATTAAACTTAGATACACAATATTTTTTTTTTTTAACGGTACGACTTATAATAATAAACTCATTACCTCACAAAGGACGGGACCTTAAACGAACCGATTGTTTTCTAAGTAATTTATATCTTTATACGATGGGCGGCAAGAATATACCGAGAAGACCCGCAGCTTTGAGCGATTTTCCAAACGGCTTTTGTACTACTTTCCCTCCTTTTCTTTCTTTTTGTGTGTGTGTGTGTGTGTGTGTGTGCTTCTTCTTCCCTTGCACGCCATAAAGCTCTCTCCACACGCAAACGAGGCGGTGGCAGTAAAGGTTTAACGGCGGCGGCGGATATCATGTGTCTCCGGTCAAACGGAACGCGCGCACACACAAGGATAATTGGACACGACCGGCGAGTCGTCCTTTACACACACACACACAAATACAAACGGTGGTGGTCCGGCTGGCATGGAGTGGCCCATCACGACCAGTTATGTGTGTGTGTCGTTCGATTTGTTAGTTACTATGTGTGTGTACATATATATATATATATATATATATACTCTTTGCCCTGTCCTTGTTCCTTTTTTTCCCTCCTTGCGCCGCCAGTTCCCCGCGCCGTCTTCTGTACGACCCGTATACACACACAAGCTGTATAGTCGGTAGTTGTCGTTGGAGCCGGCGTCTTTTGTGGCGCCGCCGTTATAGTACAAGGTGCCCGTGACGTGTATTGTTCATGTATGTGTGTAGTTTATATTAAAACTATAGGACCGTACCCAGTTTGTGGAGAGAAAAAAAAAACATGGAAATTAATACGCCGACAAAACACGTGTTTAACTCGTTGTATAGAAATACCAAATATGCATATTTTATGTGTACGCTATGTATGTATATATTATAACACTGTATCGGATAGGTTCCTATAAGTGCGACATTATAAGCTTTCTTTACCCAAAAACCACATTATTAATAATTGAAAATGTTAGCAAACAAGTTGGTAGCCAAACTGGAAATGTGTTTCTCGCCCTTTTACGGCCTTAAAATTTGTCGAGTCCAGAGGAAGCCCCGTTTATTTCTCCGGAACGTTGGGTGCGTCCCACAGACTTATCTGTCTTGTAATTTAATTATTGTTGTTTCTTGACCCGCATTTTACCGCCCGGCTGCAGTAGCACCGTACAATAATATAAGGGGAGAAAAAAAAACGTGTTGCCGGATGTGTCGCATTCCCAAAGTGTCGTCGTTTATCGTCCGCAATACGGACAGGCTATTTTTTTTTATATATATATATATTTTATTTAACAATTCAAACGGTCCTTTTATCGCCCGCGCCAATCACCACCTGTGTCCACGTCGACATCAGGTGCCTCACATAAATATCCCTCTTGTCCTCTCCTCCCCTCACTCCCGGTCTACGACAAGTCGTCGTCCGTCTTCTCATGGGCAATATATATATATATATACAGATGTTGTAATATATATAATATCATTACAGATCCCTATTGTTTTCTGTTTTCAGACGATATTGAACTCGATGCACAAGTACCAACCACGTTTCCATCTAGTCAGAGCCAACGACATCATCAAGTTGCCGTACTCAACTTTCCGCACGTACGTGTTCAAGGAAACCGAATTCATAGCCGTGACAGCGTACCAAAATGAAAAGGTACCAAATTTATACGTTAAATACACTATATTATGTTGTCACATAAGTGGAACTTAATACTTGTGCTCAATATCCATTAAGATAATTAATAGTTTTTTTTTTTGTTTTTTTTTCTCCAGATCACCCAGTTGAAAATAGACAACAATCCGTTCGCCAAAGGTTTCCGGGATACCGGTGCTGGAAAGAGAGAAAAAAAGTAAGTCAAAACTTCTCTGTTGTCAGATTCATATACCTACATGTAATAAAATAATAATAGGGGGTTTATAGCGTTCAACCATTATTGTGATATTATGATACAAAATACATAACAAAACTCAATGTTCAACCATGTTCAAAATAAATAATAATTATTCTTACGCATTGGCTATGTTAAAGAGATAATTTAAATTAATTATACACTGGTATTATGTTCAAATTTTAAACGAACAAATGCGTTATTTAATTTTTGTATTTTGTATCAATGCTCGTAAAACATAGCTGCATGGAACGGTCATAGCATATAAGCACAGCAGAAATTGTGAAAACAATAATTTGCTGACCAAAAATTAGTCTACCGTGTATTAACAAAGTCTACGGGTCATTAAAAAAACATTCACGTTCTTCTAGTGGTTGATAATAATATGTTAGTTTAACTTCAATCTAAAGCGTAACGGTAACTCTTTGGTTTCCGCGTTAGGGTCTTTTGGAAAATTTGTTCAAACCATTTGTAGTAATTTGTTGGGTAACATAACACAGAATAGATAAAGGCAGAAGGGTCACGTTCAATGTAAACAAAAATTTGACGACCATTTTGTAAAGACCTATTGAGTATTATGTGTGGTATGTATAATATACACAACTAAACATTACTGTGGTGTAGCCTTAAGAAGATTGGCCGCCACGTTTTTGTATCTTCTCCGTGTTCATTTTGATCAGTGTCCGGGTCTTGAACGTAATAATATATTATTTGTTTTTCGCTGTGGACGTGTAGTGTATTATTGAGACATGATAGAGACTCGCTTGGCTCCCACGGCACCGCGATTATAATGATACAATGCAGTTCGTTATCGATTAAATTGTGTTGACGATTTCGGTACCGCACCACGACCCTTTTTTAAACAATTTTTTTATACACATAATGATATGCGAGGCGTCGTCGACCGGATGTAAAGGTCAAAGCGCGCGGTGACACAGGGTTTGGGCACGAATTACGGATGCCGGTTTTATACTCTTTCACTCTCTCTCGGCACTTTTATTAGCCTTTGCGCGCGCGGACGGGCCGAGGGGGCGAGTGGAGAGAAAGAAGTCGTGCGGCGTGCGGAGAAAGAGCCCGCTAATGACACCGCAAAAGGGCACATAGGCCTTTTAATTTAAAAAGTCTACGCCCACCAGATATCAGCGGATAATGACACCCGGGTTCGCGGCCCATTTAATCCGCCGGCAAAAGGCTACACGGACTCGGCCCAGGAGAAACGGGAGCGGGTGCGCGGTGTAACGGGCACCGTCCGAGGGAGTATAAAATAAAAATAATAAACCGCATAAGTCGAAACGTTTTGAACGGTCCCCGAGGATATTTAGCGCACATATATAATTGCCTCGGCTTAACCCCGAAAAGGTTTTTTTTTTAATTGTTTCGTCGCGGGTCATAGTCTCTCTGTGTTCGCGCTATACTTCCACAAATGCTACGACACAGTGCCTCGGTAAAAGACCTTTTTTTTAAAAAAAAAAAAAAATGTTATTTCAAACGCACACGCTACCCACGAAAACCACGCCTTTACAATACGTCTGTTACCGCTTGTTCTAGACTTTAGCATCGATATTAAGCTATTCAGATACGGCGTGCGGTCGTCACGCTGTTTTGATTTGGCTTTTCCTAGGGATTATTCACTAGGTCAATCGGACGTCGACGACGGATAGGATAGTAGTATATCAATATGCTCTATGTAATTACCACTACAATAAGGCTTCGGTTAAGCCGACGACCGGAAACTGTTCCTATAATATGTCGTACACATACACCACACATGCGCTGCACAAGTGATAAAATAATATTATGGGTGTACAATATTATTATATGTATAAATAAATGCATATATATATATATACATTTTTTTTTGTACGCTTGCTGTCTGCGGTAATACACTGACTAATTTGTTTCGATACCCCGACAGACATGCACGTCCGCGTGTACTCGCACCTCACAGCGTAATTATTATCATCATCATCATATCATCGTCGTCGTTGTTGTTGTTATTATTATTATAGTTGTTATATACTGTTAACCGCCGCCGCCCATAAGCGTCGAGGTGCCAAGAACGAATTCCATGCTCTTGCATATTGTAATACACATTCGGTGTAATAAATCTCTCCGTACACCACGTTACACGGCGCGCCGATGATTCACACCCGTTGATTAAAACACACACACACACATCAATATTCTAAATGCAACAGCTATAAAAACGTGTATAACTATAAGCCTGTATGTGTTGTGTCTTGTAGACAACAACTCTGGTTTTGTTTTGCTAAAAAAAAAAAAAACTCAGGGCCCCTCGAACGTGTTCAGGGGGCGAGAAAGTCGGGAGCCAGCGATTGTCTCGATGAAAAGGCGTTTAACGCCGCCCAGTCAAAGGACTGCGATGCTCCGGATAGCCGCGGACGATACTATAGCGACAACGCAGAGTTATAGTTGTGAAATTATATAGCATAAATCATATAATAATAATAACGATAATAATTATACACGTCCGGGTGCTATGCACACGGTATTCGCCCAAGACCACCATAAAAGTTATTGTTTGTCCAACACCTAATAGTATAGAACGGCCTTGTCTGTTTTGTTGTGTATGTATATTTTTATGGCGTGATAAAATCCTGGGTGAGCATTACAATAAAAAAAAAAATAATAATAATAATAATCGTATACAGATCAAAACCCAACGGACACGCGAAAAAAAAAATACCAAATAATATTATGATAATCCCGAATTCCGTATGTTGTAATTATACTGTAGGTATACCTGTTCACGACCGAATCGTTGGATAGTTAATTGTGTTGTAAAAAAAAAATAAATACAAATTCCTATCCATGACACCTATTATTGTAATTACTTCCTCTTGGTGCGTTGCGTTTTTGCAGCCATATCGTATACCCTATATAATATATACCTACACATATAAATGTATAATATATTTTAGGTTAGACCTTTGTGTGTGTGCGCCACAATTCCGGTAGCTAAATATTTTGTTCCAATTATTTTCAATTTAGCATAACGAGTTCAGATTTGTTTTCACCTATCCGTATACTGTCACGGAATGCACGTTTTTGGGCCGGTAAAATAAATTGCATACATTGCCGTGTATGTAATCAAATGCCAATTCGAATCCATTAGTTACGCTTTTTTATCCGTCGGGTCCTCTCTTTAAAATATAATACAACATTGGAGCCACCGCACTTAACCGTAGATAAACGGTACGACAATAGTGTTGTTCTATGTATACTAATCGAATTTGAGCAAAACCTAAGTACGGCCACGGCGCGCCGCACATTAAAAATGATGTAAACGTTACAGTAGTAGTAATAATAATATCATCAGAAGACGGGTTAATGGCTTATCTATAATATAACGTTATTTTATAAACGAAATTCGGGGGCGCCAAAAGGTGCAACGCGTACAAGAAAAGGTTGTGTGTACAAGCGCAGTGTAAAAACGACGGTGATAATAATAATAATAATAATAACGTGTGTGCCAGTGTATATTATATTATGTAGACGATAAAAAATAAGTATGCGAGTCTCCCGGTCGCCGCCGTAAAAAAACGGGTTTGTAAACATGTATTTTCGAATAACATAATTTTCAATTTTATCGGCCAGATGACAACCGGCGATTACGCGCGTTCATCCAATCGTAAAACAATCGAATCGTCTTGCAATTAACGTTAACACGACTAACGGCCGAACTCCCGAAATTTGAATAAGTAATAAAAAACTGTATGTAGGGTTTTAAGTTTTAAAAAATAATAGCCGTCGTTTGTGACATGTTCCGGAATCGACAGACCTGTACGGGGCAAAATGGGCTTTCCACTAAATGCACGGTGCGTAATATTATCATGTTCTCTATGAAACGCGGAAACTTATCTGTAGCACCAAATCCTTGTCGTGTAAAGGATGTTATCCTTAATGCGCGTAAATACCATATTATCATTATAGTCAATCGCCCGAATACATAGTATTGGCTTTTGCGTTCGAACACTACTCGGCTATTACCGTGGCTCAAACAAGCCACTTTCCCATGATTAATAGGTCTTTATTTTGGGTTTTCTTTTTTTCTGACCAACAGATCTGTACAACGTTATGGTGTTTTCAGGCAAGCAATGTTGGCGGCTCAACGGCACGGCGGTCAAGCGTCGCAAATCGGTCAGGAAGACAAACACCACGCGGGTTCTGACCACGAAGACGACAAACCTCTGGACGTGGTCGGAGGCGATCCTGACTCTCCCCTGTCTTCGCACCACCACCACCACCATCACCAACCGCACCAACCAGGTTCGTCAAACGGTTCTCGTGTTACGCGTCTGCTTCGCACCGTTTACACGCGACATGTTTTCTAACGGGGGTTTTTTTTTGTTTGTCAATACATAGGTTCGTGGTTTTCTGGATTGGCCGACGGCAGCCTGCTCCTAGAAGACGCCATGAGACGGCGACTTGCCGGCCACCCTGCCCTCCACCACGCGGCTTTTCTGCAACACCATCAGCAGACCCACCAGGAAATCGATAGCGAACAAGAGAGTAGCTGTTCCGAATCCGGCCGAGACAGGATGAACTCGCCGTCGGACAAGGAATCGGCAGGACCTTCCGGTAAGTGTAATATGTTGTGTTGTTACTATTAAGTACGAAAACGCGTTGATACCCGGGAAATAATATATCGTCATGTGAGTTCTAAACACCACCAGTTCCTCAATTTGCCCAACTATACGGGAGGCACGAACAAAAATTGATTTATTTCATTGGGAAATATCTTGTGTTTGTTTTTTTCCCATTTTCAGTGCTTCGATTACCACGGCGCGGGGTGGTGACCATTCGATCGGTCACGAAAAAATACATTAGGTCGGGTACCTACCACATTTTTGACAAAGACTGAAATTAGGCGATGTTAAAACTCGCATGACGATATATATGCTATTAATATACGTTTGAATAGTATTCCGAAATTAACACAATGTAACTTACTTACCTACATATGATTATGGGAGAACTGTAATACTTTTTTTCCGTTAAATGATCGATACATTTTGACGATAAAATAATAATTTTTCAAGTAATTTCTTCTTGCCCATTTATGACTGGTATGGTAAATTATAATCTGCCTCCTTGTTTTATTAAAAAACTGGTTTTTCTCTACACGCAAGTAATTTATCTATAAGTCTTATGCAGTCCGCACTAATCGTGTTAAAATTCTGTTACATTAATATTCCGTATAGTGTATAATACAACCGGAGGTCAGTTGTCACTATAGACTGACTTTATACATATTTTCCTAGCAAGTTAGTGTCGGGACTATGACTACATTCAGACCGGAATGCTAGTGAAGTACCTATCACATTATTATTATTTTGTATAATACCAACGCTGGATTACACAGAAATCGGTGTTAATAATTTTAACGATGTATTGAAATTTAATGGACCGGTCACGTACATAGTTTCAGTTTACATACATTAGTTACGTTTAAAGAACCAACAAGTATGTAATGATTCGTCAAAACTTCAATATTCATGCATATTATATAACCGCTCGACATTGTGCACGATTCTCTGACCTCTAGCGTGTTAAAATAAGAGGAAATATTATAAAAATCTGTTTTTTTCAAACTCGGGAGGTTTTTCAGCATTTGTCTAACTCAAAGGTTTTTATTTTGTTCCTGCAGGACCAGCACACAGTCCCGGAGACTATCCTTCGCCAAATGTCTCGTTCGGACCTCCGATACCGCCTTCCCCTCACCTGCTACCGTACCTATACCCGGGCATGTATCCCGGCGCCGCCGGACTCGGCGGTCCCCTGTGCCCGTCCGCCCTGAGTCCCACCACCAATCTTCTGTTCAACGCTCAGCTGGCGCTGGCCGCCCACCATCCCGGCTCGCTGTTCACGCAGGCTTACCTCCAGGGCGCCGCTGCCGGCGGCCACCCGTTCAAGATGACCGGCGGCCTGTCCGGGCTGGGCCGGTTTCACCCGTACCACCTGGGACTGCACCACAACCCGGCGTCCGTGGGCTCGGCGTTCGAGACGGTCACGCCGGGCCGGTGTTCGTCGGCCGGCAGCACGCCGCCGCCGGCGCCGCTCGATCTGCAGTCGCCCACCAACGGCCGGCAGAAGTCGCCGACGCCCGACCGCCAACGGCCGCAGCCGGCCAATCCCCTGCCGGCGGCCAGCGAACTCAAGTCCATCGAAAAAATGGTCAACGGGCTGGACTCGAGCGACGAACAGCCGGTGGCCGCTGCGGTTAAGTAAAGTAATAAAAATAAATTAAAAGAACGTACATGATACCTATTTTCTTCTACGAGTTTTCATTCGGCTTTATTATTATTATTATTTTCTTGTTTTCCATATTATAAAAATATTTATATATAATATACTATATATTATACTATTATTATTATTATTATTACTATTATTACTATTATTACTATTATGACTACCCACTATTACTACTCAACAGTTGTATATATAATTATTACGGAGAAAATTGGCATTGTAATTTTAGTAAATAGACGAAAGATATTTATTGCGATTAGAGAATGTATAAATAAATTATATAATATATAATATAATATAATATATATGTTGTAGAAAAAAGTGCAATAGTATAATAATAAATAGTATTTATTTATTAGTTAAAAATTATCGATATAATATTGTAATAATTTAAACGTTTAAGTAGGTTTTATTATTATTATTTTCATTAGATTTAGTGATTGAATTGTATAGATTGTATTGGTTTTCCAAGTTACAATAGAACCCCCCCCCCTCCCGACAATTTCGAGAAAAAAAAATGTTCCTAATTAAAAATGTTATGTTACAAAAAAAATTAATTTTAATGACATCGAGCAAATTTGGCCAGTACAAAAAAAGTATTAATTCATAATGATATTTTAATAATAATGATAATAAAAACACTGTTCCTACGCGTTTTTTTTTTCAAAACTGGTGCTAAAACTTGGACTATTGTATTAATTGAGAACAAAAACCTGCTCACGTTTTGGAAAGACCATTTTTTTTTCATTTAACTTGTGTACATATCTTCAATTTTTTTAGCGACTATTACCGACGTTTTATTGTATATTTCCGGCTTAGTATGTTGATACTAATCGGCCTTACTATATATAATGTAATATACATTTGTTGTGTGCTATATAATTTTTTCTTGTGTAAACAAAATATAATTAAACGAGAAATATAAAAAAAATTATAAATTAACTGATTTGTTCATTATTGATTAACGCCTCCAAACACTCAACGTCTTTTAACAAAACTGAACTACTTTTACTCAATAGTTCATAAAACATAATGAATATTATCCGTTTTTAATTTATTATTTACATACTTATCTACAGCGCATTTGTTTTAGTACTGTAATGCGTATCACAAGTACAATTTATATTTATTACTTGTTGGATTACATCGTGGTACCTATAATGCCAATGTAGTTTTTTGAGCATACTTACCTACTGGTTTAGTATTTAATACTTGAAAAAAATACATGAATACTAGTTCACACATTTACATTTTTATGTTGAGCTAAAATTAAAAAAACGTTTGATAGAAGTTGTCTGAAAACCTGAATATGATGTCATATACTCAAATGAAGTGTCAAAATTGAAAAAGCTCATAAATTAAAAACTTTGTTTTTTAAGCGTCTCTTGTATTGTGCGAGGCACTTGTATAAACTGAAGATGATATTGTACCTGACAGTAAAAAAAAAACAGTGGAAACGTAGTGGATTGGTCTGAAGTTGTAAAAACGCTTCGATGATAATCGTTGGACGCCTAAAAGTAAAATAAATGATACGATTTTAATACAAAACATTACAATATAGTAACGTTAAGATTTAGTATCGTTTTTAATTAGCGGTATAAACGAATACAATTGTGAGTATTAAAATATATGTATTTAATTTGACCGATTATAATTATTCTACTATTGCCAAAAATAATTATTCTATTGAATTCACCCTTATATAATTATATAGACCCTTATTTAAAGTGCCGTTGTGGGAGGACAATCCAATACTCCACACAGTCTTGCATGCGTAGGCGTAGGGTCAGTTATGAACATTTGTGTGTACCACATGAGGGCACCGTACGAGATGTACAAAAAAAAAAAAAAAATCGAGGCACTTGTAGTGTGTATCATTGGGTACATCGTATATATTTCAAAACTTGTTCGAATTGACCGCATTCGATGAGGCGAAATCATTTCGAAAAAGTATTACCATATGTTTTTCCCATCCTTTAGCTGGTTGCGAACGACCAATGTGGACGTTACACGGCGCGACGACATCTCCTCTCGTGTGCAGTCGAAGAATAAATAGAAAAAACTCACACACACTATTATGTGTATTGTACATGTTGTATATAATATGAACATTGAACATTGCAGGATACTACAATTTGCCGTGAGACGACGTGCATGCGACTGCGATCGAGTTACTATATCATTTTATTGCTTCCATAAAATAAAAATAATAATAATAAAAAATTGTAGCCCGTGTGAGCAAATACAAAGCGGATAGAAATTCCCTCGACCTATCTCTAAGCGATGGGACTTGGCCTTATTGTTTGTTTTTTTTTTTCGAAACTGATTTATCATTGTGAATCGCCTATAAGCTTGCCGCGTGTAATCTATTACATTGTTTAGCTGTTGGTCGTCATAAAACCTTTTGAATACATAATATAGATCTGTTAATAATTAATACATTTCTATACACCTGCTACACTACGGTTAGGTTATGTTAGGTCCTTATTACCTATTACTCAACGATGTACTGATTTGTAACTCATTATAGCACTAATGTTTATTTGCTAAATAAAAAACATAATTGCTAAATAATTGTATACAAACATCCGTATATAACTATAATAACATTATTTTGGTTCAGGTTAAGAATTGAATTTAAGATTAAACCGCGAAATAGGTTTTTTGTACTAAACATAAAACACAACGTAATGCGTAATACGATTATTAAAGATGATAATCTAAAACGTTTAAAACAACGGTCATGCTAAAATTTGTGTTTACTCATTCGGTTATTGCTTATTTTTATACTAGCAAATTCTAGCATGACGATCAGCTACGCGACCATTGTAAAAAAAATAAGATCACGGATATCCGTCCGGAATTGTTTGTCTAAAAAAAAGCTATACATTTTAAATGGATAATAATATTTCCTTTATTCACGTCTCGCATTGTTAAATGTTGTACATTATGTCAGGAAACATAATATATTGAGCTGTAGTTTTAGATTCAAACTTTAAAGAAAATTTAACTTTATTCCGCCTGTGTGCACCTACTAATTGCTATACGATCGTAAATGAAAAATTACCAAAGCTTTACTTTTTTATTGTAAAAATAATGAAGACTTTTAAATATTGATAATAATATTATATATTATGCAAATAGTAAACACATACAATCAATAAAGGTCTGTTCAGATGTACCGAACAACGGCAAGTATATTATACTTATTTAATACATTGTCAGGTATTACATAATATTCTACGTTACAGTCTATATTAATGTTATGTGGAACTGGTTGATTATTTTTCACATGACACAAAATCTTTACTAGTGCTTAATGCCTTGCATATTTGTGTTTCGCGTCTTTGTAAAAGCAATAAAATTCATGTTTTACTGCACAATATTAACCATTTTTTTTTTTTTTTTTTTGTAAGTACTCGCCTGATGTACTTATAAATTAAGTATTCATACAGTGTCTATGGATATTATTAACAGCTAAACAGTTACAAAATATAAATAAAATAATATTATCCGAACGGCAATTTAATATGGTAATTGTGTAAATAATACGTTGCTGGATTCTAATAGGCGTTAACAAACTGCAGAGATAACGTGTCTTAGCGGGAATTAATTTTAAATACCACCTAGTCCCAGCCACTTGTTACCGAATAATAAAATTATATTATATACTCATGTGTAAAATTACCACGCGGATATAAATTTGCAATAAAAAAACAAATACTGTTGTAATATGACTAGTTTTTAATTGCCTCGTTTTACAGGCATCGGGTCATCATCATGGCCACGCGCGGACGAGCTGCGACAATAATCGTCCGCCGACCGCTTGCAAGAACATTATAATTGATCGGATTTAATTCGATCCTCAATGTAGGTATATAAATTACAGTCTACATTTGCTATACTCGACAGTCAACGGCCACACCACATCAGGTCAACATATTCTCACAGCAATATATATATATTATTGCATGAAGAAATACCGGTGGACGTTATTAAAACATAAAGTCCGACCGCGGTGGTCAAACCGCACACAATATTATATATATATATATATCCTTTTTCGAGGGGAGAAAAGGTCGCTGTGTAATATGTGTAGTGTGTATATAATAAATATAATAACACGATTTCCGCAAAAGCTTTATTTTTTTTTTTAACCCTCGCCCGACGAGCCCTCTTGTCATTTTTAACCGCATGCCTTAAGGGAGTTTTTGTACTCACATATATAATAGTAGACGAGATATGTATATATATATATATATATATATATATGTTTACCGCGTATAGCTGGATTTAATAGCGAATTTTCGAGATACGGATACTAGTCAAACACCGCGTAGAAGTCTACGGAAGACAAGTAGGGGATGAACGGTATCTACCCTCCTCTCTCCCGGTACTAACCCTCCGTCCCACGTTTAACACACACACACACACACATACACGGTTAATCAGTACGGTTGACCTTTCCCGCACGGAAGCTACATATATATATATATATAAAGTAATCCAGCAGCGTGCAATTGATTGCCCATCGCGCGCGCGTCACAGCGTCAATGGTGGTAGTGTGGGGAAGGGGGGGGGGGGTTAAGACAAACAAAAGTGGTCGGCCCCGAGATGAAGACATGCAGAAAGAGCCATTGGAACGGACAGCACGGTGGTAGTTGCAATTGAAAAGGGGCTGCAGATAAATCATGCAGCTTTTGATTGTCGAGGGTCCGGAATCAGCCCGGTCCGTTCACGGTCCATTTCACCTTACCGCCGCTCGGACAAATCGTTCACCATAAGGTTATATATAGATCTAATATATATATATATATATATATATACATTAGGTACCTACTTCTTATTTTTTACGTGTGTGTTCCTTATTTCGATTTATATAAATTCTATCTCGTGTACCATGACTATATTATTATAGCGTCCTACATGAAAGCTTGATCGGTTAACCTGTATAAGTTAAGGTATGATCTTGTTACATACCGTTATGTGATATGTCTTAAAAAACCATTATACCACTTTAAGCGGAAAATAATTATATAAATACCTGTTCAATAATAATATAATATGTCCTAGAACCTAGAAAGTATAGCTGTGCATATTAAATATAATTTATCAAAATCAAATATATAATATATATATATATATATTATTGAATCTAATGTACATCAAACTTCTCTAATTTTATATAATTACATTCAATTAAATGAATTAGAATTTTAAGAATTTAATTTTAATGAAAACAATTATAAAAAAAGTTGTTTTTGTATGTTTTTATCGAACAATTCTACTGCAGTTCTTCGTCGAAGCCAAAACTATTGAACACTCCAGACGTGTGTAATTCTATAATATCGGGTTATTTAAATTATTTTTTATTTTTTTGGCTGTATGATATCCTGCTAGCTCAAAACAAAGGCAGGCAATTATCAAACGGGACGCGTGTCATGGAATTCAGCTGATGCGTTTGATCCCTCTGTTTGGCTCGTCAACGCGACTAGCCCAACCGGAACGTCATAAATAATAATGTTAATTAACCACTGGCACACGCCCTATATTTGCTTACGGCCAAAATATGTGCAATACTCTTGACTGAAGCATTAATTTTTTTTTTTGATTTTGAGTATGTGTAACTCCACCAGGAAATACTTATTCGCGGAAAGGCCGACCGACTCGTCGCTCGGTGAGAACTGGAAAACGATTTTGGGAAAGCCATAAAATAATATACTAAGAGCTTTCCGTGAAATGAAAACGCTTCTCTGAAAATGAAATGATTTATATTTATCTTGTAAAATCAAATAGCTCTTGTTGAATTTATGTTGTACGATGGTAGCGAGCACCGGGCATTTGATTTCGTGTAGGTGTACTATATTAAAGCTAAAAAACAAAAGTGGAATAATAAAATAGATACATA